TAATAATTATAAGTAAGCAAAGTTTAAATAAAGTTATATAACTTAATTAATACATATGTATTAATTAACTTAATTAATACATAGTATTAATGTTTTTGCTAATATTAAAACCTTAATTTTGATAATTTGCTGAAGACCGTATAAAGGTTTTTTAAAGCTTAATTGATGAATTTTGGACATGATTTGTCTTTATTTTAAATTGGGTTTTTACCACTTTTAGAGCTTATATAATAGGGTGGGCCGATTTTACATGTTATTCCTAAAAATATAAAAAATTTAATTCTGCGTTTAAGAAAAAGTTGAACTGCCATAACGCCTCTAAAATTTAAAAGTAATTAAAATTATGCATAAGCGGAAAAGTTGTGAAATAGAAAAGTAAACAATTTTTTGATTTTTTTTTCTTTTTTAATATTTTGAACTGCATGAAGTTACAAACTGTACATTTTTAATCATGTAATTATTGAAAAGACGGCGTAAAATGGATTTTTTTTTAAGATTTTTTTGTTTGACGTATGGCAGTTGACAGTTGGCTTCACTGTTTATATAAATTATAATATTGTGACAGCGTCAAATGAAATCACGCAAAATTATGCCCTCTTTTGGTTCAAAACAGGATTATAAATTGAACTAAATTTGTGTTGATGATAAAGTCATTTTTGTTTTCGTTTCTTTTTATAAATAACTATCATTCAAAACATTTTTCGATCCTATTTTCTGGGAGATAATTTTTTTTCGTATTTATAACATTAAGAACTTTCAAGACCTTGTGGCAGTTTAAAATATTAAAATTAAAAAAAACTCATATAATACTTTTCTGGCCTTATAAATGAACAACTTTTCCACCATTGCACAATTTGATAATTAAAAAATAGTAAAATATATATAGGGTGGGCCAATATGTCTGCGTTTTATAAAATATCACTGCTTACTACCCGAAACCTGCTTTATTTCGTTTTTGTTGGGCCACCCTATATATTATTAGCTTTACTTTCGGGGTATCTTTTGCAAAAGATTTCACTTAAAAATCACTTCACTCCTTCACGCAGTGGTTACAACCCCTAATATTTTAATAGGCATAATTTGAAATCAAAAAATTCTATTGATTCAATTCGAAATATTTTAAGTTTAAGTGACGTTTTTTATTCGAATAAAATGTACAGATAAGAAAATCGGGTAGAAAAATTGTCGAATTATAAAAAGCTTTCAGCACTCTTTAAGTATACAAAATTTGTTTAGTTTTATTTAACAATGGTTTACACTATTGCTGTTAAAGTAGGAGTTTTAGGTTTAAGCTATTGCTGACCCAACTTTAAGCACGAAAAAATTAGCTACGGTATCTAACCAACATTCCTAGAACGACCACCCAACGGACCCTCGAATCTCATAAATGTCATCCTTACAAGATTTATTTAATCAATAAATTAAATGAGTGATGTGATTTTGACCAGGGACTGGAGTTTTGAGAAACTATGATTGAACGAATGGCTAATGATGACAATTTGTTTTTTAACATTCTTTTTTCAGACGAGTGTACGTTTTTTCTTAACTCTACCGTCAATCGCCTACTGGTCGATACTGGTCAGATGCAATTCCAAGGGTTTTTCACGACAACGGTCCATACTCAAACTCCATAAAAACTGGGCTGAAATTTTTGAAAATCGTCTGGTTGGACCCTATTAAAATTTTAGAGGTTGTCACCACTGTGCGAAGTGCAAATAAAATCTATTGCAAAAGATATCCCCCTTATCGACATCACCTTACATTAATCTCCCACGGTTATTTTACCCCCTTTCCGTTCTCCTACGAATCCCGCAACTACACAGCATTATCTTTGTTTGTTAGATCCAATTTTTTACGCCGGCTGGTAGATCTCCCCTAGGAGGTCGTGGATGACAATGTCAATGGTTAAGGCCATTACCGAAATTTAGGCTAGTGGAGAGCGGGACAAGGAGAGAAAACATGTTGGTTTTTGAAGGGCATTGAACTGACCCTAAACTAGGAGCAATCCGAAATCCTCCTCAACCAGGGCTTTACTAATAACCCCATTCAATTCGGGTTCATAAATGGGGGTAGGTGTAAGCTGCTAGAACCTATCCTTGTTGGTGTACTTCCTGTTCGTCTGTTGCCGGGTCTCTGACTCGGATTCCGATTCCTGCATGGTAACCGCTTTAGAATTGTTTACCCCCCTGTGCGATACTGAATCTTATCTTCAGTAACGAAGTATTACGGGCCACGACCCACCGTAAGTAGTGCCGTCTGCTTTCGTGAAAATTTAACCCTTCATGTCGAGTACCGACTTATTATATATGCATATTATGCAGCTGTTTAGACGTCTTTATTTAATCTACTAAAAATGTTGTAGATACACACGAAATTCGTGTTACGAATTATTACCCCACCATGCGTAAACTTATATATTTGTAGTTATTTGTCCTTTGTTTCTCAGAGTTGATTTTTCTGTGTTTAGGTTCTTTCTTATTTACGTGGTGGTTTAATTTATTTAAAGGGACTGTTGTTTATTTTAATTTCGGTTACTTTTAAACTCTTTAAATTTATGGGGATAGCCTTTTAAATGTATGCTTATTAGGTCATGCAGTTATTTAATACTTATCAGATTTTGCAGATGGTGGCCTCTTGGTTAGACTTGTTTCTTCCTTACATAGGTGATTCCTTAACTTGTTCCGTATCACTTAATTACTTCTGTGTCCGTATGGACTTTATCCCTGTATTTACTTGTTGAGAGATCGCTTTTTGAGGCACTATTTATCGTTTCTATTAAGACTTTGAAGAACAGGTAGGTACACTGATTTTCCCTGCACAGGTAGTAAAACTTAGCACTAATTTCACACAGTATTTTTCTTAAACTACACTGTATATGAGCGATTTTTTATGTTTGATTAAGACTTTTATTGTGGTCAGTCACGTTCCAGCACTTGACATGGCAAAAAGCATTGTAGCAGCGAGAGCTCTTAAAACGTAAAACCCAAAACCAACAAATAATTTCTCAAAAGTGCAAACAAATTATAGTGTAACAACTACAGTGAGTATAGACTACCCTATGGTTAAGAATGAGTTAAGAGTGATAAGAAAGAATAAAGTGACAAGTGAGCTTCGGGGCGGTCATACCACCCTTCAACTATACGCTTTTCACTGGACAAAAAAAGAATACAAAACCAACAAATAATTTTTATAAAGTGCAAACTAATATAGTGTAACGGTCAATAAAAAATGAAGTGTTAAGTGATAAGAGAGTTAAGGGACAAGTGTCAGCTTCTGGGCGGTCCTACCACCTGTCATTGGACGCTTTTCACTAAACAAACAAAAGAGGAAGAGGCCTTCCGCAAAAAAATTATAAGTATCCTCAACCATATGCATGACCTAACACATAACTTGCAAAATTAAACACGACAGATACCTTTAAAACCCTAAGAGAGGCACACTGCGTAGACTGTAGGAAAAAAACAATAAACATCAGTAACAAAAGAAACCTTAGAAAGACAATACTAACCAAACTCAAAAAAATAATAAAGAAAAAAGACAAACAAAAAAAAACAAAACTTCTTATTCGAACCGCGGTCATACACCAAAGCTAAGTAGGACAATAAATCTGTCAACAACAAATGCGTAAGGCATGAAACCCAGTAACTTAACCCAGACAGCACATATATCCATTGGACGTCCAGCGGACGACCATTGTACATCCAAACGTCCAATGTAAGTCCATTTGACGTCCAATGGACATCTTGTGCTGTATGGGAAGGAACTGCCCCAACAAAATAAAGTTTAATTTAACCCAAACGAGACCAATAATTACATTTGACACTTGACACTTAGAACATAAACTAATACTCAATAAATCAAGAAAACCCAATCATAGTAAAAACAGCATACTAATCAAACTCTAATGGATTTTGTAAACACACTAGATTATATAGTATAACAGAATCATTGCACTTGACATTTGTTTAACTAATTAATAAATGCAATACTTAATTTTGGAGATTAAGAAAAAAAAGACAAAATACAATTCTACCACAAAACTTACTTGGGCAATATCTAAAAATTGTTAAAAATTTCGCACTACTGCGGTAATAAACATTAAAAAAAAAACATCAAAAGCTACATGTTACATATCCGACTACTGAACTATCTATTGATGGTTTTTGGCCTCAAGACTAAAGTCACAGACAAGAACATTATTGACAAAAACATAGACCAAGACGTAGGCTCCTGTAGCAAAATAACAATTCTCGAACTCCATGCAGTAATCCCAAATATTTGGAGTAATACTAACTGCCTGTTCTAGGGGGTACCGCTTCGTACTTAGATTTGAGTCGGAGTAATTGTCCCCCAAACACCAAAATATCTATCAATCCCGTCCTACCTCCTTTATGACCCTACTGGGCGTATAGCATCGGCTCGGCGAACCCGGGAATGGCTACTAAAACCATTTCGCTCTCGAGCCCTAATTAGGGAACAGTACGGGATGCAATGGACATTCGCAACCAGAAAACACAGGTGAAGCGGTGCCGTTGCTGGTGGCGAAAGAAAATCGGCGCAAGGAAACAGAGGCCTATGCGGGGAGCCAGGAGCCGGGAGCGATGAGGCAATGGGGCCGGTTATACGTCTCATATTTATACTCATATTTAAGACTTTTACTGTGGTTATGTACTTAAGAGCGCTCGAGCTCTAACACAACAATCTTGAAAATCAAATGCCAATCATTTTAAAAAGTAGTCAATAACAATATTTTTAATTGCAGATCAGGACGAATTTATCTAGCTTAAGTGTATTTTTTAATATTATAAAGCGACCTTGTATATTAATGATATTAATGGCAACACATTAAACTTAAAAAAAGTTTAATTTTTTTTAACAACTCTGGTAAATTTATTGGACCTACACCTAGATAAAAATTGTTATTTTTAATGTACTAATTGGTTATTAAATAAACAAGCTAGTATTTATATAAAAGCAAATTAAAAGAAGTAACCATATTCATTACAAGGTATTACTACTAAGATGGTGTTTTTAAAAGTATCATGTTTTTTTGCAGCAATTAATTTGGTTGTTGCAGAATATCGTAAGTAATAAGTTAAGTTTAATTATTTTTTTATTTTTTTATTATAATTTAGCTTTCCAAGCGTGTAAAAAAGGTGACTATAAATGTATGACAGATCAAGGTAAAAAAACCCTCAATTCAATTCTTAAAGGTAAATATAGATAACTATATAAAACTTTTTTTGTTAGCTTAAATATATTTTAGGAGATAAAGCTTATAATATACCAGACCTAACACCATTACTGTTGCAAAATGTTGATTTAGACGGATCCAATATTAAACTTAAACTAAAGAACCTTAAAATTTTTGGAATTGAGAACTTAGAAATAAGAGAAATTAAGTAAATATGTAACATATATGTAAACTACTACTGACTTAAATTTTTTAGGTTGGATACTGATAAGAAATCAGGCACTGTTAATATTTTTATTCCCAATTTCAAAATGGTTGGAGATTATGAAATGAATGGAAAAATTTTAATTTTAAATCTTAATGGAAAAGGAGCAACAAATATTACTTTGGGTGAGTTTTTGTCTTAGAAAATACTTAACACATGGGGAATCCCATACCAAATTTAATTATCAAATGAGTTTAAATTTGCGATTTTACTGAAATTGGGATATGTTTTTGTCCGTATTTAAATATACTTATGTAGAGTAAGTATGAGATGTCAAATTTTCAAAAATTTGACAATTTTTGTATCGTCCAAAACTAAAAAAAAATATTTATTTTAAAAAATTTTAAAAAAACTTTACTGAACTTAAAAGTTTTTTTTATATATTTTACGACTTGACGAAGATATAATTAATACCTTATTTAAAAACTTTATTTCAGAAATGCAGTAGTTTTTAATATTTTAACATTCTCCTGATAATTAGTGCATTACAGCCTATAGTAATTATAGCAATAAAATATTTAACATTCAATGTCTATGAACGAATTAAAAATAGGCAATCAGGAAATGCTCCAGCAGACCAGTGCTGGGAACTCAAAAATTACATTGTGTAATTCTAAATAAAAATGAAAATGGATCACAGTGAAGCGTTTTTCAACTCTGTAGAAAAATCAGGGCCGTCGGAATACGCGTTGACCGAATATTTGGTATTTGGGTGCACACTAGGATTGCCACATTTTATGGGAGCTGAAGGAGGACATATTTTTCGCCAAAAATGTGTCTTCCAAAAGTATATTTTTTATTTGACTTTGCTGCATCCAAAAGCTTTTTGTCATCTTTAATTGCGTTAAAATATTCATGACAGTTCTCTTTAAAATTAAAAAATATCAGCAGTTCGGCCCTAATCAGTTCATATATAAATAGTTCTTTCGTGCCTCCACTTTATCCCAGAAACCGAAAAAATTCTCTCTGAGAAAGCGGAACTTGCCGGAATACTCAAAAAATTCGAAATAAAAGAAAATTTTTTGTCAATGTCTGGTACTTTCTAAAAAATATATTTCCACTTTTGTGGAGTAGAGTAGGTTTCATACTTATTACAAGAACTTTTTAACAATCTATAAATTCGATTAGTTTCTCATACCTCATTAAAAAGCTTACCCATATTTATTTTTAGATTGTCATTATCAATGGTAAAAAAATATTTTCAAAATCAGAGTAAGGGAAATCCATTTTTTAAATTCAATATGTTGCCGGTTTTTTTTTAAGAAAAATCAAATAGTTTATTTAAATATTCTAAAGATTTGTTTAAAAAAAGTTTAAATTCATTTTATAGTTTTTTTTTTTCTCTTTGTCCAAAGATTTTAACCTATTTTTGACTTCAAAGCCATAAAATTTGTTTTCAAGACTATATTTCATTTTTTTTTAATTTTGCATCTCAGCATATAAATCTATTACCCTAGCCTCATTTGAGGCCTTAAAACTCAAAACTATTTAAAAAGTTGTGAATATAAATATAAATAAATTTCTATTTTTATGCCTATTTCTATGCCTACTTCGCCCTCATCCCTATTTATTTGAAGTAACTTTTTAAAATGGACTGGACATTCATCTAAACTTAAAAAATAGCTAATAATTGCTGTAAAGTTCTCTAAAATCCTTCCATTGAAAATTAACAAACTCGTGAAAGGATTTCAGTTCCTCCCTGCGTTATTCTGAATTTGAAAAATAAAAATAATTTTTTAAAATAAGGTTTTCGACATCTAAGGATAAATCTTCCATAGCATATTATGGATTATATGAGCGTGATAATTTCTTTTAATATATTTTTGTTTTTTCTTTTAATTTGGTAAACAAATTATTGTTTATGCAAAAATTTGAGTTTGTGTTATCAGGACTTAATGCTGAAACATAACTTAAATCTTATTCTAATGCCTGAAGACAATTTTCCACCATATCAAACATTTCTTGTGCAGTCTCATTAGGATTTTCAGGAAAATCTAGCAAATAATTTTGCAAACCATCTTGCAGGGTAAAACTGAACTGAAATTGGAAATAGTTTAAATTTTTTTCTATTGAAAAAAAATCATTGGATTGTGATTTTTTATTAAATGGAGAACTTTTTCTAAAGCCTTTGGACCTAAAACATGCATTACCAGGGCTTTTACTTTATTACTGAGTAAATAGGTACTGTAAATAGCCACAATTAAAAACTACGTATCCTTAACAAATCCTTAACAAATAAACGAACATAGCACCAGCGCAACCAGCGTTACTGCTTTGTAGTCACAACACACCAACAACTCTAACTGAAAGTTTATAAATCACGCTTTAAATTTTTGGCAACGTTGGATCGCACAGTGGTCAAAAAATGCCGTTTTGCGGCAAAAATAATAATAATGTCTTAAAGAGGATAAAATACGTATAAGTAAGCATGTTTTTACATCAAAAACTTAAGGCTTTTATTTTTCATTACATTTTTATATTGTAAAAGCACACCGTTTAGCGGAAATAATTTTATAACTTTTTATAAGGACACAAAATTTATTTTATTTTATTTACCTACCTGTGCTAGGTATGATTTATTTAATAACATAAATCCAAAAAATAAAAACTTTTAATTTTTTAACGTGGGTTTTATAACTTTTTGGGGGAAATAATTTTATTTTTTATTACCATAATATTATAACTATAGATATATTATAACAATATGTTATATTGTAAAATCACTACTTTTAGTTGTTTTAATAATTAAAAAATAAGTTTGTATTTTATACATGATATTTTTTTCCTCACAAAAAGTAATAGTCCAACTTAAATTTGCTTTCAATATATATGTAAAATATTATTACCTTACACATCCTATATATGGGGCAAAACACCTCAAGGGTTCCCACCTAAAAATGAAGTTGTCTCCGATTTTAACAAAACTTTGCCAAATAATTCGTCGTTTATCTGACAAAGAGGCGTATCTCATTTTTAAACAAAACGGTGTGAATTGAATTACGCCAGTTTGTACGGCACACAAAATGCAAAAATATTAGTTACGCCGAAACTGATTTATGCTAAAACTTTATTTGTACCTATTTACGCCAGTTTGTGAGATTATAAAGTCGATTTTGGTGATCATTCTGGTATAACTCAAAAACGATTTTTTTTGAGTTACGCCTCTTTGTCAGATAAACGACGAATTGTCCTATTGGAATACCTTAATTTTCCAAATGGAGGGCAAAAAGGATTAGCGGGTTGCAGAGATACAGGGGTCTAAAATTTTTTTTTTCTCGTGCGCTTAAAAGACGTCGAAATATTCATGTATATAATAATTTTTTTTTAAATTGATAATCAACAAATTGTATAGCATTTTTTCCACTCTATACGATAAAAATGGTCTCGAAAGCGAGAAAATTTTTTTTGGTTATAAAAAAACGATTTTAAAAATATATATTCGTTTTTTTCTCAAAATTGGACACATTGGATTTTTTAAAAATTTATATCAAAAGAAAGCTTTTTTAATTGCCTAAATTTTGATGTAATATGAAGATGGGATCCCAAGAATAGGTCGAAAAAAATAAAGGTTGAAGCCGTAAGGGACCGTGCGGCGAGCATGCTCGCAGCAAACGACGAGCAGTATACCTATTGCAGCGGTGCTCGGACTACTACTTACTGGATTAATTGGAGAGGGTCAATACAACTTTTAAAATTATTTTTATATAGAAATAAATGTATTTTTCGATGGGTTTAAGTCAAAACAGCACAAGCGCCAAATTTTTTTTAATTTTTTTTTAGAAGAAGGTCGATAGAGAATTTAATTCTCTTTCGACCTGCAGGTACATGTACTTCTAACAAATTTAAAATTTTTGACGCTTGTGTCGTTTTGCCTTAAACTCATCGATTTAATTGCAATAGTTCAAATTAATAGCAATTAAAACCCATGTATTGGTTTTTGTAGTCGAAAAAGAAAAATGTAGAAAGTAATAAGTTGCTCTTACTCTGAATAAATTACACGTGCACGTAGTTTACTGAATAACCTTACGTAGATATCACCCGGTGAATCGAAGTTAATCCTAGTTAAATTCCTATATGATTTTTTTCTCTTAATTTTATCAATGACTATTTCCCTCGTCTTAATTTCGACCAATCACAAACGCGCAATTTTGAATTACAAATGGTTTCTAGGTGAAAAAACTGTATGACAGCACCTGTCAGCAGTTTTTTCGAGTTTACCCGCGGCAAAACTTGACAGCTGTTGTCAAAAAAAATTGCAATTTATATACTGTTACTCATGAAATAGTCTTGTCAAATACCATTCGGGCATCTAATTTTTCCTGTGAAAAAAATCGAAAAAACACAATGCTAAGTAATATTTTTTAACAAAATGCATTCGTGCAGGTGCAAAAATCCTCCTCTTCGAGTCGGATTTTTGTTGCCACCAGCACTCATGCTTTTTGTTAAAATATTACTTAGCAACGTGTTTTTTCGATTACTTTCTTCTTCTTTAATTATCCGTTTAAATATTGTTAAAAGCAGGCCTGGCCTGAAAGGGGGAGAGAGGGTTTGAAGGCATGTCGCGATTTGTTATGCCCGAGGGGGGACGGTTTTTTAAAACGTCACGTGACGAAGTAAATTAAGTAAAATTGCTTTTTTGTTCCATTTTTACACAGATTATTACAAAAAAGCATCGAAAAAAATATTTTTAAGGGGGTACAACGAAAAACCATGTTTTCTGCAGTTTCAATAAATAAATAAATAAAATCACCCGACAAAATTTAAGATGGCAAGCCGCGGATTGGCCAGGCCTGGTTAAAACGATATTCCTAGTGCTCTTTAATTGAGTCTTTAAAAATTTAAAAAATCAAAATTAAAAACATTTAAATTACGACATTACAACACGAATAATTTGAAGAAAAAAAAGTTCGAATTTATCAATTTTTAAAAAGTTATGGACGATTAACAAGAAATCGTAAAATTTTTGAAAATTCGACTTCATAAAAACTATCGGTCAAAAAAAAATCTTTAAAAACGTACAAAAATATATCCCAATTTCAGGAAAATTGCACATGCAAACTCATTTGATAGGTAAATTTGGCATGTATTAAAACAAACTAAATAAACATAATATGTATAATATATTATTATAGTTGATGGGACTGGTAAATGGGATTTTACCTATGAGACATACAAAAAAGATGGAGAAGAATTTGCTAAAATTAAAGATTCAAAATATGAACGAGGATTAAAACGGGCAACTATGTATTTCGAAAACCTATTTCAAGGAAATCCTGAACTAAGTATATTACATAATACATATTTAAAACTTATTCCAATTACTTATACGTTTTTAGCAAAGTCCACAAACGAGGTATTAAATAGTGAATGGCAAACAGTAGTGGACACATTTGGAGATGGTTTTGTAGAAATTATTAAAACAATTTTGGAATTAGTACTGGGAAATTATATGAAGGCTATACCAATAAACAAATTTGTTATTAATTCTTAAAAAAAAATGTACCTGTGCAAATAAAATTATATAGGTATCGTGATTTATTTATTTTATTAGCAAACATTCAGGGTTACGCAAAATAAAATATAATCTAAGAATATAGAATGTTGTAGATTTGGCACTCGAAAAACTGATTTTATGTGTCAAGTTTCACAAAATTAATAAAAATGCCAATATCTTAAAAACTAATGATTTTTTACTAAGGTCATGTTTTGATATTATGATTAGTCATGAGCTGACCTATTAGTCCTTCAAAGGATATCGTTGACTTTTGGGACTTGAACTGTCTGTAATTTTTATATTCCCTATCATAATTTTTATCAACAGTGTCATAAGTAAGTTACCTGTAAGTTGTGACAGTAATTTTGTTAGCGTGGGTTGATAAAGTTAAAGTTGTCAACAATAAAAGAATCAATAAGTCAAGTTCCTCACCTAAAGGCAAACGATCATGTGTCTAGGATCACGTTTAACGCGTTCGTACTTCCATTTGGCTACCACCGCTATCGGTATTCAAATTCATAAAATCAATTAATGATTCTACACGTTATTTGACAGAAACGAAACAAGTGCAAAAGGGGTGCAAATTGCGTGTGGCACCTCCTCCTGGATTAAGTCCCAAAATTGGATGACCTTAATAATACCCAAATACTAAATTTTAATGCGAAATGCGCAACTCTTCCTAAAGAAATAAACATCTGTAGATTACTTAGCATATATAAGGGAACCACAAATTACGTTCTATGCCAAATAATAAACAACCGCACAGTGGGTTGCAACGTTATCAATATTCAGCAAGCTCGGAATCCGACTCGGACACATACGCACAAGAAGTACTTCAAGACCAGCAAGGGTATGTCCTAGTAGCGTACTAACTAACCAATCCTCATTTATGAACCCCAATTGAATGGGGTAATTACTAAATCCCTGGTTGAGGGGGACTGTACTTAGTTTTAGGTCAGTTCAATGTCCCTCAAAAACCAAAATGTTTACCTCCACTAGCCTAAATCGTATTGCCCGGTCCGGCGACAAAATTCCGGGAGTGGCCTTAACCATCGCACATACCGGTATTTTGACCTAAAACGTGGCCAAAAATATTTGGGCACTTTTTCTTTATCAAAAGGGTAGCAAATGACCAAAGAACATATTTTTAAAGGTGATATTAGGTACTTTTACTATAAATAAGAAAATGTATGTATTCACAAATTTATTTATAAAAAAATTATAAAGTAGCTACTTACATGCAAGTAATGCAATAAAAATATTAAAATTAAACATATATTAAAGTTTTTGTGCCCTTTAAAAAATAAAAAATACACCCATTTACCTAAAAATCTTATAAGATCGCACTAAAGTGTCTGTTTTCAAGGGTACATTTTTTCGTGATGTGGAAACATGTGGATGACTTTGATGGCTGCAATTATTCTAGATATCGTAAAGTTTAATAAAATGTCTTGCGGATGCCGTTGCGAGGTGTTGCCGATATTTAAAAACACCATTGTTTGTTTAAGAAAACGAGAAAAATTAAGAATTTCTAGGTAGTTAATTATAGTACTCGATATAAATAAATAAAGTTTATAACACAAATGAAATATAGCCTAAAATATTGTACATACCTTAATTGACGACATCCATATTACTTTCTTTTACCAAAATCTCTTTTAACATAAGAAACAACACAGCAAAAATTTGTTTTTTTGTGGAGTGTCGCGAACGAAGACCTACGATGTAAAAGAGCGCTAGGTTCTAGCTGCTGGTACATCGGACTGGGATGGCCAATTCAAGTTTCAACTACACCAAAAGATAGCCATGTTATCTAACTTCTTTAAAACAAAATCTTAGATCTGGCAATAAAAATTAACAAAATTGATTTTTGGCCACGTTTTAGGTCCAAATACCTGTCTGTGCATCGACACTGTCATCCACGACCTCCTAAGCGAGATTTACCAGCCGCGGCTAGCCGAGGTGAAAATTCGGATCCACCAAATATAGGCAATGCTGTGTGGTGGCGGGATACGTAGGAGAACTGAAAGGGAGTAAAATAACCCTGGGAAATAAGTGTAAGGCGTTGCCGATGGGGCCAGTCATACGTTCCTCATATTCATAATCAACAGTAAAAGAATGAATAATTAAAAAATCGATCAACACATCTTTAGTAATACAGACATATCTGCAAAACTCATGCACATATTTTTAGCAACACAGACATATCTCCAAAATTGATGGACACCTTCTACGGCAACACAGACATATCTACAAATAGCTCTTATTCAAAAAGAGTATTTTTTAAAATTTAATTTTTAACTGGCTCAGAATCTTAGTGTGGTTCCCCCTTTGCATGAAAATACTGTAAGTTTATATAATTTTCCAAATATTTTAGAATTTTGTTATTCAAAAATATTTGACGGTCATTATCTCGGAATTAAGGTTTTACTACTTATGCCTTATGACTTATGTGATTTGTCCTATTCTCATTTATAAATAATTATTTATCATATTTAATTATAATTAATTAGGTATTAATTATAAAAAAGTCATTAATTCATAATTACTAATTTTAATTGAAATTTAAGACAATCTAGTGATTAATAATGATACTGTACCAAACATCGCCGCAATTTATGATTATTGCAAGATAAAACCCTCTAATATTGGCTAACAGCACCTCTCCAGCAAGCGTTCGTAAACATACGTTTTCAAACATTATGTATGTTCACCAAACAGCGAATTTTGGAAACGGAATAGCAAATTAGACACCGATGTTGTTTATAAATATGTTTGAGAAATTCTTTGAGCGCATGCGTCTATAGATGAAATAATTGAAAGGGAATGGTCCTCAATAAAGCGAGGAGCTTATAATCAACCATTTTGGTTGACTGTTTGCATTGCACGTTTGAAAAAGGTAGAGAATTGCAAGCCTCCCCTTAAAAACGGAAACAAGGTCATCCATTCAAAATATAGGGAATAAGCGGTATATACATATGTGGTAAGTATATGGATATTCACAACGCGCGCTCGATAGCATTTTGGGAATAGACCTATTCCATAAAATGGACTTTTGGATAGCGCGTGCGTGAAAAGGCACGTCGTCTTTTTTTAATTATATAAAAGAGAAAGAGATACCACTCTTCTTCAGGCACGCGCTATCCAAAAGTCTGTTTTATGGGATAGGTCTATTGAAGAATTATCAAGAATACATTTAAAGCATACGAACTTCACTATAATTTTAATTTTGTTCGCAAAATCGCGGGCGTTATTTGTGTTTTCCGTTGCGAGTAAAAACTAAAAAACTTTGGTTTAGTACTTAATTTTAATTTATTATTCCTTATATCAGTGATTAAGAAATTCAACGCTTATTTGCTTATATAGTTATAGTTACAGTTATTATGTTAGTTTGTGTATTTAATCATGGTGAATTATTGTGTTTTTAATTGTAAATGTAATTCAAGAACTGCTTTACTTTTAACTTTTATTTTTTTCACAAAAAACAATAATTGTGACCTTGACCACCACAAGGTTTATACTTTATCATAAAATCAAGACATTAATATTCCTAAACCGAAATAATAAAAACATTAAATATATGGTAATTTAAAAAGACTTATGGTGGATTTATGCAGCACAAATTAACATTAAGAAGTTAAATGAACGTAATCCATTGGAAGCTTTTATGCAATACATTAACATTAACTTTAACATTAAGTTAATATTAAGAGATGGCCAACTTTTATCTTCTTAATGATAATGTTAATTTGTATTCCTCCTGAGCAGGTTTGCGGCGCAATTTTTAAATAAATCGTGTTAGTAATGCCAACATACCCGAAAATAAAATGAAACTATGTTAAATGTAATATAAAAGAGGGATTAAAAAATTGTTTGATCATTAGGTATTATAACTGAGAAAAAATGTCTGACTTAAAATTAGTTTGTTTAGCTGCAGTTATTGGCTTTGCAAGCTGTTTAAATATTCGTAAGTAATATATTAATAATAAAATGGTAAAATTTTTAAATATAATAATTATTATATTTTAGCATCTTATTTTAAACCATGTAACAAAGGGGACTACAGTTGTATGACGGAACAAGCTCAAAATACTTTAAAAAATATTCTCAATGGTAAATATTTAAATAATTAATCAAAAACGCAAAAAACATTTATAAAGCCTACAATAAATTGAAACATATTTGTTAGAAATTAATAATCAATATTAATTATAATTAATATTGATTATTAATTTCTAATAATTAATAATTATTAATGACATTTAAAAATTAAACATTCCATAAACCTTGCTAAAAATGGATTACCAAAACCTAATGACATTTATTTATTTATCGTAATGGCGCCATCTATTGGTTAATTCATTCATTCATTGTTATGGCGCATTAATCTCAGTGTTGCCACCCCTATTACTTTAGTAATAGATCTGTTACTTTCAGCGAAAATATATTACCCTATTACGAAACGATGTAAATCTATTACTTTTTTCTTTCCTAGTAGGATTTTTTTTTTAATTATAAATATTGTTGTGCTTAAATAATTTGTGCTTATAAAGTTTTTACTAAAATCGCATAAGCATCATGTGAAAATTCAATTTTATTTTGACAACGGTAAAACGTCAAAGAATAAAAAAAAATTCAAAATAGTCTATCACAGTGATAAATATATGCTATTACCTTAAATCACAAATCTATAGATTACATTTTGACGCATGCGTCTGTTACGAAAAAAAAGTTATAGGTGGCAACACTGATTAATCTGGTTTGGTCTGGAGGATTAAGCAGGCTGGAGCATCAGTGAACAGTTCGTGTCGTTTTGTACGTTGATATTTTGCAATAAAAAGTGGATTTAAATTAGAGATAAGGTGCAGTTTATTTCACCAGAAGTGGGATATTGCGGTGTAATAGGACATTAATATGGAAAACATCTTGAAAGTGTTTCAAAAACTAATCGAAACTTTGACAGGTGTCGCGTCCTGCCGCCGTTCGACCCGGCAACAGCTGATTGTGGCGCTCTACCTTGGTGCAATGAAATCGAGGAAATAGGAAAGGACTTTAATTGGAGCCCCTTAGAAATTGCAGTGAGAGCAGGCAAGGTTCTACGTGGAGAGGCAAAAAATTGGTATTTAACATGGCAGCCCGACAAAAAAGACTGGAAGTCATTTCGCAGTACCATCGTTGATTTATTATATATAAAGGCTATATTATTAAATTCGGATTGTTTCGATTCATATTGCGAGTACGCTAGAGAAAAAATTAACCTAATCATAAAAACTCAAGTAAAGTTTAGTGGAAACGAAATTATCGAAATTGTTATTGGCGAAATCAGTGACAATACTATAAAAATGGGGGCCCTAAACAGTAATGTTTCAACTACTAGCGAGTTAATCACTTTATTATTGTTTTATACTAAAACACCGCGACAAAATGTTTATATACAAAAGTGCTCTTTTAGTTCCACCCTTACTTCTTAATAAGTCCCATAAGCCAACTGAATGGCTTGTGCGGGTTAGGGGTTGAAACGGACCGCGGGCTTAAAGTCCCCTCCAAAGGACTAATACACAATAGGACAAACACAAATAAACAGCCATACCCCTGGTGGGATTCGAAACCACGACCTCCGGCTTGTAGTCAGCAGCACTAACCACTAGACCACTGTCGGCGATAAACAACTTTGAACCAAAATTCAAAAACCGGATTGAATGAAAAGTTTGTTTTATTTGTAATAGACCGGGACACCTAGCCGCCTCTTGTCCAGAGAAAATTAAGCTGCAGGGGTATAGCGGAAATTCAACTAGTTTTACGACATTTTCGAGAGGATTGAACACGCCAAATAAAGTTTCCCCTCGAAACAGGTCGCTTGTACGTTTTGTGATAAACTTGGTCATTCAGAAGACCGATGTTGGTCTAAACAGAACCAAGCAAAACAAATAAATTTTTGTGAAAAATCAAAACATAACCTCTACACCAAATGTTTGATAAACCAGAAATAGGTTCCCAGTTTAATTAATACTGGTTCGGATTGCTCACTAATTAAAGAAAATTTATCCACACTATTGTCTTCAGGAATTGAACCATACTGTATTGCTCTTGGAAGATTGGGGTCCGGCTCTGTACGAACTATTGGAAAAGTCATACTAAACTTAAAAAATAACGATGTTAATGTTGATTTAGAGTTTTTCGTAGTACCGAGTGATCAACTATCAAACGATGCATTCATAGGCAGGAATATTACAGATTGTGAAAACGTTAACATTATAATGGACTGTAAAGGAACGAGTCTAGTAAAAACGAAAACCGTATATTGTATTGAAGACTTCAAGCCCAAATTCGAAAATAAAAAAACAGAGCTGTGCAATGATGATCTAAATTTACCTTTGTCTATACTTTTTCAATTTCCCAAGATGTTTACGACACGCAACGCTGTTCGAAAAGTAACTACAGCGGAATTGTCAATCAAGTTAAAGGAAGATAAAGTAGTATGTTATCAGCCTTAGCGATTAGCCCCTGTAGAAAGAGAAAAAGTGTTAAATATGGTTTAAGATCTTTTACGAAATGAAATTATTCGCAAAAGCAGCTCTCCATTCGCAAGCCCTTCTTTACTTGAAAATAGTAATCCAATAATCAAAATACTATAAAAGATAAATTCCCTTTACCGCTAATAGCTATCTATCTATGAGGCATTCCACGTTACTCGGTAATTTTTGTCCCGCCCGTCACAATTAAAAATTGTGAGTAAAAACCGCAAATTATAAAATTAATATTCTATAATAATATTTTTATTGTACTTATAACTTATTAAAAGCATAATAAAACAATATTTTAAAATAAATTTTATAACGTGTAGTTTTTACTCACAATTTTTAATTGTGACGGACGGGACAAAAATCCCCGAGTAACGTGGAATGACCCCTATCTATACATATATAGAAGATCAAATGGACAAGCTTGGCAATGCCAAATATTACACCACTTTAGACATGGCCTCGGGCTTTTACCAAATACCGATAGCCGAAGAATCCATTCCAAAAACAGCATTCGTGACTCTAGACTGGCAGTTCGAGTATCTGCGGATGCCCTTTGGGCTGGCAAATGCCCCATCTGTATTTCAGAGAGCAGTAAATAATTGTTCTTTAAAATATAAGGGAATTTTATTGCACTTGGATGACATTCTCATACCATCGTCCATTATAAAAGAAGGGTTAAATAAGTTAGATCAAGTACTGTCTTCATTGGATTGCGCTGGATTTAGCCTTAATATAGCAAAAGGTAGGTTTTTTCAATCCTCCCTAGAATATCTTGGACGCCACATATCGTCAGACGGTATACGATCTGGAACCGAGAAACCTGAAGCTCTTATTAACTCGCCGATACCCACCAAAGTGAAGGAACTAAGACAATTTTCGGATCTTACCAACTACTTTAAAAAATTCATGCTTGAAAATGCAGCCAAAACCGCCTGTCTCACAAAATTGACGAAACAGAATGAAAAATTTATTTGGACATCCGAACATGATGAAGCCCGAACCTACGTAATTAATTTTCTTACCGAGAAACCACTATTACAAGTTTTTGATCCACAGTTAAGTACGGAGCTTCACACTGACGCGAGCTCCATAGGTTATTTCAACGCCATAATGAAGGCTTACGAGTCGTGTCCTATTTTAGCCGCCGCACCACGCCAGCCGAAAGTAGGTATGAACTGCAAGTCGTCAAACATTTTCGGCACTATCTCCTGGGGATAACGTTTAAAATCGCCACTGACTACAATTCAATTAAATCTACAATGAATAAGAAGGACCTAATTACTCGTGTAGCCAGATGGTGGACTTATTAAGAAGATTTCCAATTTTTCGTCGAGTACAGGAAAGGCAAATACGTTCCACACGTCGACTTTTTAAATAGGAATCCACAAGTAATGACGATCAATTCAGAGTCATGGTTGGAAGCTGCACAATCTAAAGATGCTGAAACACAAGATCTAATTCAGAGAACACGCAGTGGCGATACGGTTGGTAGTGACTATGAGGTAAAAAAGTCTCTTCTTTATCGAAAAATAAAAACTGCGGATGGCCAAGTGCACTTAAAATTTTACGTGCCAAAAGGGAGCCGATTAGGACTTCTTAAAATATACCCTCACGAGCAGTGCCATGTTGGATTGGAAAAAAACATCAAGAGAATTTTATTTTTATTATTCTTTTATTTATAAATAAAACTTTGACTGTATAGCCTTGGTGGAAACATGATTAAACTGTGATATTAGTAGTTTATTTATGCTGTATTTAGTTCTGATAATTCCTATGAAAGAACCAGAACTTGAGGTGGCGGAGTGCTTGTGTCTTTTAATTCATCTTTTAATATAAATTTCATTACCTTTACATAGTTTGATTATATTTCCCCTTAAATTGATATAGTTTGTTCTTAATTATGAATTGTATGCAGTATTATATTTCTAGAATGACCCTATTGCTTAATTACATTTTGCTAAACCTTAACGATTACAAAACACGTATTTTAAACAATTTTTTAAATTTTAATTCTGGCATTATAAAATTTTAAATGCTAATGGCAATATTCTTGATATACTTATGTATATCTGATTTTAAATGGAAACTGTACCCATGGTAATAAAGGACAAATATTACCCACCTCTTATGGTCCCCAAGATTTTGTTAATGGTTTTGCACTATTTTGGTAGCGTATATTCTGATATATAATATAAATCCAGAGTTCAGATATTAACATTATAATACAATGTTAATATCCGTATTTATTAATTATTAATTAATTATTATAATTTAATTTAATAATTATCTCCGAAAATGATATTATCATTTTCGGAGAAGCTTCACGGTGGATTTTTTTTGGGTCAATTTTCGGATCATCAGGCAACCACGGTTTTTTTTCATAAATCGATTATATGCCTGTAATAGACAAAAATTACCAAAAATAAAAAAAATCTCTCGGTTTTTTTGTTTTTTATTAAGAAAAATATAATATAAATGGATCTAATTTTACTTTATTGGTTATTTTGCAAAAAGTATCAATTTTATCGAAATTCTGTTTTAACAGTGATATAGAATAATAAATTTTCTACAAAAAAGGTTATAAGCATTTTCTTTGTAATATATATACTTTAGGAGTAATATCCGTACAAAGTTATAAATTTTTAAAAATCGCATTTGCTGGTTCTTGTAATTGGAATTACATTGACACATAAAAGTGGATAAAGTTTCTACATTATAAAGTAATTTTTTATATATTTTTTATTGTAGAGTGGAAATTAGAAAGGGCCTAAGTGTCAAAAATAAAGTTTTGAGATAATCGAAAAAAACTAAATAAAAGCCAGGTAAGCACCTGCATCCCTCGACATACTCGACCGGCTAGCCGCGGCTGTAAATTGTAATTTTGGCAATTAGAATTTTTCATAGGTTGCAAAGCATGGCACAGAGAACCTTTTTATGTAAAAAAAGCCTTTTCTTATTTCCTCTCTTCAATTATATATAATAATACTTAGAATTAATAATATTTAATTAAGTCGAAAAAACGTAATGTATAATACAATTTTAAAATAACTTTTCTTATTTTAATAAGTAATTTAACTTAATTCTTTGGTTCTTTTTCGGGTTTTGACGTTTACATTTTGCTTAGGTAACTATGATTAAAAATTAAATATCGCATCAAATTGTTTAAAAAGTAGATTTTTTATTTCTTTTTACTGATTTTTTTTTTAATTCTATGCTTCTTTTATCGATTTTTTCATAGTCATAAAGTATTACAATCGAAAAAGAGATCAATTTTTAAAAACTTATCTACAGAAAGGCCGACCAACAAATTTTTTTCCCAAGTTAAATAAAAAAAAATTAAGCAAAACATTTGTTTAGAAAAACTACGTTTAATAATTACAGGAAAGCAAATATGGTAATAACCTTTTTTGTAGAAAATTTATTATTCTATATCTTTGTTAAAACAGAATTTTGATAAAATTGATACTTTTTACAAAATAACCAAAAAAGTAAAATTAGACCCATTTATATTATATTTTTCTTAATAAATAACAAAAAAACCGAGAGATTTTTTTTATTTTTGGTAATTTTTGTCTATTACAGGCATATAATCGATTTATGAAAAAAAACCGTGGTTGCCTGATGATCCGAAAATTGACCCTAAAAATCCACCGTGAGCTTATACACTCACAGGCAAAATAATCGATCCACACAAATTTTCGATGAATTTCAATCGCAAATAACTTTTTTGTTTGATGTTGGATTTAAACGAATATTGATAAATTAATGTAGAATCGCTCACATTTTAAAAAATTACTAAAAAATTGATGTACGTTTATAATATACAGGATTAAACAAAAAGATGTTTTTTACCATAAGTTTAAGACACTCTATAGAGTGGCAAAACCGTATATTGTTCTAAATTTAGTTTTAATTATCAAACCACATCTATTTTTAACAGTTTTGTTTTTGGTTCACCTTGATATATTTATTTATGTGGAAAATATGGATTTTTAAAAAAAACATTGCAATTTCCAATATTTTTTCTGTACGAAGAACTAATGTTGCAATGGTCCATCCATAGTCTATGGAGGATGACATTGACTGTTTTGTTGAATCATCCCATACTTGCAACTCCATGGACATGTCATATAAGGCCTTCAAAAGCTATCAAATTGTTGTTTGTAAATTAAATGTCCTAATTTTGAGGTGTCCTCTTACTTTTAAAAAGGTAGGTATATGTCTCCGACTGATGTTGCCCTTTGTACTTTACTTCTTGTGACGTTTAAAACACTTGCCACATAATACGGTGACCGTCCATACTGAATTAAAGTAATGGCTCTGGCAACATCATTCAGTGACATATCCATTTTAAAAAGTAGGAAGACTCATCAAAAGTTAAACATTAATTAAAAAAAAACAATTTGATAGCTTTTGAAAGCCGTATATGACAAGTCCAAGTATGTGAAGATTCAACAAAACTGTCACTGTCATCCTCCAAAGCCTATGGATAGACCATAGGAACCTTAGTTCTTTGTACAGAAAAATATTGGAAATTGCAATGTTTGTTTAAAAAATTCATATTTTCCACAAAAATAAATATATCGAGGTGAACCAAAAACGAGACTGTTAAAAATAGATGTGACTTGATAATAAAAACTTAATTTAAAATAATATACGGTTTAGTCTTAAATTTATGTTAAAAAACTACTTTTTGTTTAAACCTGTATATTATAAACGTACATCTATTTTTTAGTAATTTTTAAAATGTGAGTGATTCTTCATTAATTTATCTACAATATTCTTTAATATTCGTTTAAATTTGACATCAAATAAAAAAGTTATTTGCGATTTAAATTCATCGAAAATTTGTGTGGATCGATTATTTTGCCTGTGAGTGTATTAGAAAGTATATCGAAACTAAAAAACAACTCTTCGTGTGGTAATTATCCAATACCAAATTTTATAATTAAAGATTGCCTGTTGATATTTGCATATCCACTTTTAATATTATTTAATATGATTTTATTAACATCTACTTTTTCCGATTTATGGAAAATAACCAGTTTGCTCAATTTCGAAATCAGGGAATCCTTGTGACGTCAAAAACTATGACCAATAACAATTCTATTTAATCTTAAGAAAGTCTTTATATATTTGCATCTACAATGGGGTTAACAAACGTATTTTCACCACCAACACGGATTTATGAATAAACGTTCGAATGTAACACATCTTTTCGAATTTACGCAATTTGTTTCTACACAACTTAATAAAAAACTTTAGGTGGATGTGATATACACAAGGCTTTCGACAGAGTCGACCATAATATTTTGTTCAATAAGTCTAATTTTGCTTTAAATAATTCTCTTATAAATTTATTCCAATCCTACTTGTGTCAGCGCAAATTTTTTTTAATGAGTACAACTCTGATTTTTTTTATGCTAGTAGTGGAACTCCACGATTTAGGTCCTTTTTTGTTTCTTTTATTTATAAATGATTTGTCACTAAATGTAAATTCCAAACATTTATTTTTTACAGGCGATTTGAAAATATTTACGAGTATTTCTGATACTACTGATTGCAACCTTTTTCAATATTAATTAAACATTGTCCTTAAGTGGTGCAAAAATTAACAAACTCGATCTAAATATTTCTAAATGTAAAATCTGTAGTTACAGTCTTAAAAAAAGGTAATATTTAATTACACTTTAGGTAAAACCACTATTTCAAGCTGTCATGAAAGCGTAACCTTGGTGTACTTTTTTATAATAAACTCTCATTTTCAACCCATATCAATAATACTGTTGAATCTGCGTTTAAGCTTTTGGGTTTTATAAGTCAAAATTCAAAATCACAGCTCTAAAATTATTGTTATATTACCTCATTAGAAAAAAACTTGAATATTGCTCTCTTAACTGGTATCCGCATTATAATGTACAATGTACATTGTACATATTGATTACATCGAAAAAGTATAAAAAATACTTTTAAAACTACTTTCTTATAGAGTTGCTCGACGCATAGTTATAAGTTTAAACTTTTTGTGGAAAAAAATAACCAAATTGACTCCAGTCATATATTAAGTCATAAATATTTTAATACCTCGCCTAGGAACTCGAGATAGTAAACTGTTTTTTCTACGACCACTATGTAAAAGTCACTTTTCATAATGGCATCGTTGCTTAGGCAAAACACGAAAGTAAAGTTACATTTCTGTGTGAAAATTGACAGGTCTGTGTGAAAAGAACCGGAAAGCATCGTTTGACATTCAGCTGTCAAAAAAGTTTTTAGGTTATTTTGTTTTGTATTTAAAAATAATAAAAAATAAAAGGGTCGCAGAAAAAACATTTTGTTGTACTTGTGAGAAAAGCTTTCTTCAAGCCTAACGGCCTCGTGGGCAACTTAAAAACTCGCATGAAAAAGTCGCTTTTCAACACTTGTAAAACAAATAACTATTATTGCAGTTTTTTAAAAACAAACGTGCTATTGAAATCTCCAGTACAAGTCATGTGTAATATCTTAAATTCTATTTGTGGTAATTGTAATAATTTTTAATTGAAGGCTTAAGGAAATAGTGTATATGAATACTATTAAATTGTATTTAACTTTTTATTTTATTTTTTGTTATTTTTTTTAAGAACTTTTGTTATATTTAGGTTTATTAAAATACATATGTTGTTATGTTTATATACTTTGTCCTGTAATTGGAATATTGTAATCTGTTGGGCAATAAATCATTATTATTATTATTAAAAAATATTTTAAATCAACTTTTTAATTTTTAAATCTTGTATTTAATTTTAAGGCGACAAATCATTTAAAATACCAACTTTAAGCCCTTTAACATTGGATGAAGTAACAATTCCTGGAAAAACAATATCTACGACATTTAAACCACTTATTATTCATGGAATAAATAGTCTTAAAATTAAGTCTGCCAAGTAAGAAATTTTACAAAATTTTATTGATTTAAAGTAAATTAAATAATATTAATTTTAAGAATTGATACTGATTCAAAATCTGGATCTATTGATCTTTTTATTCCCAATATAATGTTTACTGGAGATTACGCCCTTACCGGAAGAATTTTAGTTTTGCAATTAAATGGACATGGCAAAGGAAATATTACTGTTGGTATGTTTTTTTATACATTTTTTGTGCATGTTTAAACTAATTTAATTTAATTTAGTTGATGGTACTGGTAAATATGATTTTAAATATAACTTGGTGGAAAAAAATGGAGAGAAATATGCAAAAATCGTCAGTTCTGATTACAAAATTGGTTTAAAAAGAGCATATTTCCAATTCGATAATCTTTTTGCTGGAAATTCAGAATTAAGTAAGTTTTGTTTAAAATAATATAATATTTTGCTTATATTCTTAAATGTATTTAGCTAAAAGCACAAATGATATAATTAATGGAGAATGGAAAACAGTTGTTGAAGAATTTTCCGATGGTATGAGTGAAATAATAAAATCCATATTGAAGTTGGCTTTGGGAAATTATATGAATGCAATTCCAATAAACAAATTAATAAAAGAATAAAATTTATGATACCCATCTAAAAATAAAACAGTATTATATGTAATTACCTGTTAAATAAATGGTTTCTATTTTACATGTTTGTTACTTACCTACCTAATAGCTGCCATTATTTACCATTAATCATTATTATATTTTATTTATTTTTATTTATATGAGTATTTAAATGGTAATAATTGTCACCTTGCTTTATACCTACGTATACAAATAATATACAATTATCTTTAATTTATTATTTACGTGAAAAAGAATTGCCAGTGGAATTTTTTTATTTAGAACCATTTTAATCTGAAATTACGTTGTGATCTCTCTTAAAATAAAATAGTTAAAATTTCAGTATATATATATATTATATATATATAATATATTAATTAGTATACTGCTGGTATACCAGCACTGTTTCCTAATAAACTATGTAGCTCCTTTTTAATTTTAAATGGCAACTTTTTATTATTACTAATTACTTATAATAATATTTCTTTATTGCCCAATAATATGTATATTTATATATCTTTATTGACCAACAGTAAAACCTTTACAGGACATTCATATTCAACATATATGTATTAGACTGGGCCAAAAAAATCAACTTTTTTTTTAGATATATCGAAAATATTGTTTGGGGTGACAAAAAAAAATATTGTTAAAGTTTGAGTCCATAATATTAATGTTAGGAAGTCTATAGACTGATATATCATAGCAATTTTAAATTTTTTTTCCTGCGCGAGTTTTTCTCTCAGAACTCCCAAACCATTGAGTTTAACAAAATTGACTCAAAAATATTTTTTTAAGGAAATTACATTTTTCGTCAGATGAACCGTTTCCTTAACCCGTAACCGGTACTGTGGTGTCTGTTTTAAAAATCTGTCGCTTCCAATACTTAAGTTGAGCAGTTATAAATATGCTCTCAAACTTTGAACAAGTTGGATTGTCAAACGGACAAATTATTACAAGTCAAAGTGTCAAGGTGTCTAGTAGACCACTGCGTACCGTTTACGTAATTTTTATAAAACAATTAATTCGTTATAGATTCGCAACAAGGGCCTTCTAAAAGTGTCCAAAGTGATAAGAAGGGCTTTAAGGAAACTGTAATGTAGTGGTTTTATGAAATCTACAGCGATATAAGTGATATAGATGTAGTATACTACATAACCATTATAGTGATTATGTCGTTGAAGATAATCACAGCAGCGATTCAGGACTTGTCTGTGAAGAGTCTATAGAAAATAATTTTATAGGGTCAGATAGTGAAGAATTTGAAATTTTTTAAGAATTTGAAAAAAAACAAAAAAGTTACTATGGAAAAAATAATTGTAAAAATTAGCTATAGTTTGAAGCAGTTATTTTTGCTGTTAAAAAAAGATATATTTAAATTTTTTTTGTTTATGTTATTTTTTAAGGTATATTCTTCGAAATAAAGATCGTTTTATTTTGTTTGGTTTAATATTTTTTATAGTTTAATCACAAAGTTTGCACTACTGCACTTTTTGTACATGTTTTGATTAAAACCTATTTGTTTAAATTTTTCTTTTATTCAGGTATTATTTTTGGTGATATTCTAACTTAATATATATTTCCTAGTATCCCCAAAGCCTCAGATAAAAAAAAATAATATAAATTATAATTTTAAAAGGCAGGTGTCTCTCAGACCCCTTAGTACAGTTTATGACCTGAAAGTCGTACAGTACCGGTTACGGGTTAAAATCATGCCTTAAAAATTGGCATGGAATTTTGTAATTTATGTAAAAATCAGTACCCAGAAAAAAACCGATAAATATTTTCATGAGAAATAAAATGCTTTACAAAAAAAGTCTCTTAACATTTTTGGCCAAATTCACTTAATCAAAAGTTATTCAAGGTTAAAGTTGAAGTCAAAACTAAATTCTTGTTTTTTCCTTTGTAGATTTATTTTTTTATGGATGATAATTTTATTTTTGTCTTTATAAATGTGTATTATATAACTAATTAACAATTTCCAACAAAAAACAACATATTGTTATTATTTAAAAGATTAAATAGGTAACAGTGAAAATAATATTTTCTAAAGAAAATAGCTTCTTAAAGCGAAAAAATGTGCATATTAGAAGTGGTTCAATTCAATAAGAGTTCGTACAATGACAATTAAAGTACTAAAATTAAGGCAATAATTCTTCTCATAACCAATGAATTAATATTAAATAATGACAAAAAGAGTTCATGGTCAAATACTTGGACAGGATAGTTAACATATATTTTAAAGTGAAGCAATTTAAGAAATTTACGCTGCACTCCTTCCAAACCCATTTTATGAGCTTCATAAATCGGGTTCCAGATTAATGAGGCATATTCCAGTTCAGATTTAACAAAAGCAAAATAAAGGGTCTTTTTAAAAGTGTTTCGAATCGGAAAGCCTAAGGATCTTAGTGACGAGTTTATAGTTTTTTCTATATGTGTATTAAAATTTAACTCGGGATCAAACTCTACACCTAGATCCCTTAAAGCCGAAACTTTTTCTAATTTGCAGTCGTCAATGCTATATTCACTAATAATAACATTTTTCTTTCTGGAAAATGTCATTGCTTTACATTTAGTTGTATTTAGATGTAGATAGTTTTGTGCAACCAATGCGCAATATCATATAAATCATTTTGCAAATTACAACAATGCTCCGTCGAATTCATTTTAGCAAAAATTTTTAGGTCATCAGCAAACAAAAGGTTCTTGGACTTGATGCATTCCGGTAGATCGTTTATAAATATAAGAAACAAAAGGGGTCCCAAGTTAGAGCCCTGCGGTACCCCTAATATTGGAAAACTGTGAGCTAAACCCGTTATAAAAAACAGATTGTCTCCTATCAATTAAATAGGAACTAAGAACACTAATTAAACTATCATTAAACCCAATTGAAGCCAATTTTGTTAATAGAACATAGTGATCCATCAGATTCTGCTCTAAAGCTTTACGATTATACATTGCTTTTGAATCTATAGTGGTATAGGGTGTTTCACATTCGTGGTCCATTGGAAGTTTCTGGGGAACGGAAAAAATATCGATTTAAAATTTAAAAGCGTTTATAATCCTTTAAGTTTTTTTTTAATATTTTAAACAAAATGCCACTTTCGGTTTGACTGGAAGTGACATCAACTTTGTTATTTCAAATAGAACACCCCATATATTTTTACATTTGGGTATTTTCACGAAACCTTACCCCACCTTGACAAAAAATCAGATGTGTTATTTAACAAAATAACAACTATATCTGAAGTCAAATATGCTTTCATCCAAAATTTTACAGTGTCAACTTTAGAAGCCAACTTGGTCGCATTAGACGATTTTCTAAGGTCGCGCCCGTTACGCTATTCATGACGCTATAAAAGGTTTTCAATACAAGTTTTTATTGACATTTTTTTTGAATTAAATACATAATTTTTTATACTATTTCTTTATATTAACGTATCTTGATATACATATATAAACAAACACTTTATTATAATCAGGATACACACACACTGGTATGCTATTTAGTCGAACCAAAATGAGTCGTTTCTGCGCATTACGTCATCTGGATTATTTCTGTTTTGAAAGTCTAAAAGTATTTGAGGTTAATCGCTTTTATTTTTGTGTTTTTCTATGGTTTATTGTGTTTTCAGTGAAAACTTTTCACCACATAATTATGTGACTTTAATATTTGTAAACATTGTTATTGTGTATTTGTGCAGTTAAAATGTCAAACTGTGCCGTGGCAACTTGTAAAAACTATGTTCGAGTTACAAAAGGAACAGAAATAAAATATTTTCGTTTTCCAAAGGACAGTAATTTGTCAAAACAGTGGATTTTAGCATGCCGACGAGATGACGAAATTAACTTAAAAAATGGTAAATTTCAATTACATACCTACATTTTTTAATTATAAAATTAGATTTATTAGATATTATTCAATTAAAAAAATAGATTTTTACCAACCAAAGAGGAAGAGTTCTATGAACCAACCGTAGAAAAAATATATAGCTGGTAAAAATATATTTTTTTAATTGAATAATATCTAATAAATCTAATTTTATAATATATAAAATTGGATTTATTAGATATTATTCAATTAAAAAAATAGATTTTTACCAACCAAAGAGGAAGAGTTCTATGAACCAACCGTAGAAAAAATATATAGCTGGTAAAAATATATTTTTTTAATTGAATAATATCTAATAAATCTAATTTTATAATTACCTTAAGGTACGTATATTAAATTTAAGGGGTTCTCAGTAATGTTGTAGTGCCTAATATGTTTAAATATTTCAAATTCGACCCTGTTGTACTTTGTCGCGTCACCACGCCATCTACACAGAAAGTGATGAAGTGTGTACGTAATTTCCGTTAGAACCTTATGTTCTGTGGTTAGAACTGATTTAAAAGCATGTACGAGTTTGGCTTTGATTCTTGATAAGTTTATTGTTTTAATTATCAACCTCACCCAACAAAAACCACACAAATAAAACAATAACATGGCGCCCAACTAATGGTAAATCGCAAAAAAGCCGAAGAAACGAACAACTGATGATAACCTCCAAAGAAAATCACGCGGGAACAAATGATGAGAACAAAGGTAAAGGACCTGGACGTTTGGAAAAAAAAGGACTGCATGCTCTGCAACATATAAAAAGTATAAGATAAGTAAACTAGGCTAGTCAAAAATGGAAGATCAAATTCTAAATGACACATTTTTCGGCTTTTGTGGCGATAATAGGTCTGTGGACTTATCGAACCCCTTTCACCCCACTTTCACACAACTTTTAGATCAAAATGAAAATAATTCCCCTCAAATCCCAAATGAAATTCAACCAAACCTTCCAAATAACCTTTCGACAAACCCCTTCGAACAATTTACGCCTTTAGTAAACGAATACACTGTAATGAATACCAATTTACAAGCTCCCTTAGTTGCCTCATTTGAACATATTTTAAACAACATTACACAACGTTTTTCACAAACCTTACAAAATTTCAATAATAAACACCTACCAAATTTCCATGGCAATGATTATGAAAATCCAAAGTACTTTTTAGACTCGCT